CAGAATCCAAAGCAGGCTCCAAGCTCCGAGCCGTCAGCGCAGAGCCCGACACGGGGCTCGAACCCACGAACCACGAGATCGTGACCTGAGCTGAAGTCGGATGCCCAACCGACTGAGCCGCCCAGGCACCCCATGAATAGAAATGTCTAACCCCTAGAGTTATCAGTTTGTATTCACCAGGAAAGCATGTATTCACATGCGGAGCAAGTTAGGAAGTGTCGGCCAAGCCCTGCTCCCTGGCCCGAGGTCCGCCTCACCTGTGACCTCGAGGACCCCTCAGGTCTTATAGGAATAAAGTTCTCTTTAAAAGAAGTCAGCCATGTCTAAAAAAAAAACTGACAGTTTTATGCCAAAATTTTCATCGCGGTGTCTCTTTAGTGACCCAGGGCATTTGACTTTCCATCTCTGTGTCTCTCTCTAAATTTAATCTAGCTGAACTTCTGAATGAAGTTGAAGAAATACATAGTCCTGTGAATTTCCACTGGGAGAAGCTCACTCCATTTCAAAGACTCATTCTGGTAAGATGCGCTACAAGAAAGTAGTGATGTTCTCAGTGTTTTGAGCACTTTACCAGTAACTGAAACCATTCCAATTTAAATTGTTATTAGCAAAATACGTGGATTTTACAAGTAATGTTGATGTTGGAGGGAAGCAGTCAGCTCCTTACTGTTTCTTTTGTGCGGAGGGTCCAGTCGGGTGGTGCTCCGCCCCCCCCTCCCTCCCCCCAGGGGGCGAGGACTTAGAAAGTGGGTGCATTTGAGGGACGAACAGGCCTTCTCCCCAGCCCCTTTCAGGACCCGCCCACTTCTTCCAAGTACATCACCCTGGATTCACCCTTATCACCCAAAAAACTCTTTTCATTTCGTCATCCGCCATCTAGTTTAGTGATGGAGAAATCCCTCCTCTCTCTCCCACCTCCGCCCCGACTTCTGCAAACAGCAGCCTCGACAGCCGGTAACCCTTCGATTTCTGCCTTAAATTTTATTCTTGTAACACTTTAAAATTTACTCCAGAGGGTGATTGCCCCAAACACCGCATGTGGCTTATAGACATGTTCACTTTGTCTTGCTTGTCTCAACATTTCGAGTGTAATTTGTCCCAGACCAGTGGATCTGAACCTATGGAGATCTTTCTTACGAGACTTCGAAGTCTTGAGGAAAGAGAACCAGACTAACACAAAGATACATTTAAGCCATATTAACACGAATGCTGGGCACCAGTCTGCGGGTAGGACTCCCCTTGTGGAAGAAGCGATGTGCGCACGCGCACAGAGAATGGAAGGAGCCGCAAGAAACGACAGTGGTCTTCTAGAAAATAGGGCCTTCGTTTTTCAACTTCTGCCTTTTCGTATCACTCGAGTTTTATGTAGCCAGTATGTATGACCTTCACGGAGAAATTAACTGGTCGTCAAGGCCTCTGCTACATTTCCTTGGCCCGGTAAGCGCCAGGTGATCTCCACTTGTGAACTACAAACTTTGTGAGTATACTGATCGCGTTTCCCAAACCCACAGTCGGAAGACCTGGTCTGATAAAGTGTTGCATGTACGTACAAAGAAACCGGTTAGGATATTTGAAACGGGGTCTGACCTGTAAGAGTCAGAAACTGAGACGCCCCCTGCGAGATGAAGTGAGACTAGATTAGAAAGAAGGCGGGGCGCCCGGGGAAGGACGATACCGCAGAGCCCCATCAGGACAAGGCCCGGTCCGGTCAGCGCACCGCTCCCCATCGCGACGGCCTGCCAGACAGGAGAGCGGCCGGGAAGGATGGCGACGGGGGGACAAGGATGCGAGGAAACTTTCCAGAACTGCTCGTGGCTGCTTGGAAAAGAGTTCGGCACACCCCCGACCTACAGTGCTGCTCTGTTGGCCAGTAAAGTAAGGGGGGCGGGGGGTACACTCACATCTGGGAGCACAGACCCTCGGCGGTGACACCCTCAGTGGTGACGTGTCGGGACCACACCTCACTGTCTGCTGGCCTCAGCTGATTCTAATGCTTCCACTCACTGGACACACTGGCCGAGCTTGGCCCTTAGACCCCAGATGCTCTGTGTGCAGCCGATACTCATTTAAAAATATCTACACACAGGGGCGCCCGGGGAGGGGCTCAGTGGGTTCAGCGTCCGACTCTTGATTTCGGCTCAGGTCATGATCTCTCAGTTTGTGAGATCGAACCCCGTGTTGGGCTCTGTGCTGACAGTGCAGAGCCTGCTTGGGATTCTCTCTCTCCCTCTCGCTCTGCCCCTCCGCCCCCCTCAAAATAAATAATAAATTTTGTAAAGACTTGAAAGAAAAATATATATATAGACACACACATACATGCTCCACTTAAGTCAAATAAAATTAAGATTAATTTTTCCAAGAAATAACAGAAAAGATTCGAATTTGATGTATTGATCACATGTATTATGTTAAACGGTGACTTTGCCGATATTTGACGGATTTGACATGTAAAAATGGCAACTTCCCACGGTCCAGCCCAGGGCACCCTCACAGACCCACACGGTTTCAGCTTTGCCTTAACTGACGGACTCTCTGATGCTGAAAATGCTCAGGACAGAATCCATGGTCAGTTCCCAGAGAGCACAGAAGTGGCTCGTTTGAAACAATTTTCATGCCGAAGGTGTTTCCTCCGAGAGGTGCAGTGATTTCTTCCGACGGGCCCTGAGCCCCTCTACTCACCACGTGGACACGGTTTCCAAAACCTTTCGGTCCCGCTAGAGTTCTTTCCGGATCCGCACCCAGCTTGCTGGGCTGTTTATCTCCGTGTTGTTACTAGAGGAGCCAGGGCGCTCCTGACTTCCATCCACACGCGGTGGGGTCTTCCTGCTCCAGACGCAGACAGCGGGAAGGACGCGCCCACGAGAAATCGGGGACCATAACCTGGATCTCACGTCCGAGGCAAGATCTCTGTCAGAGTGTGAGAGACAGAGGCCCCGAGGAAGGGCCACGTGAGGGCCCCCGAGCGGTGGCTGCGGTCTCCCCACCGCACAGACCCGCCCGCTGCAGTTTCCCAGAACGAGGGACACCGCAGAGCTCCGGGGACGAGAATGACGAACGCCTCCTTGTTTGGTTCCGTTTTGCCACAGGGAACGTGCCTTTGGTGCTTTCTCTTTCAGATCAAAATTCTTCAGCCGGAGCAGCTAAAGAATTCAGTGAGAAGGTTTGTAACTGAAAAAATGGGAGATGAATATGCTCTCAGGACTGGAATTCGTTTGCAAGAGTCCTATGAGGGATCCAGTGCCACAACGCCACTGATACTTCTGCACTCCCACGGTAAGAGGCCCGTGCGGCGCTCACCAAACGGGGCGCCGGGGGCTCCGTCGGCGAGGCGTCCGACTCTGGGTTTCGGCTCGGGTCACGATTTCATGGTTCGTGAGTTCAAGCCCCACGTCGGGCCCTGTGGTGACGGCGTGGAGCCTGCTTGGGATTCTCTCTCTCCCTCTCTCTCTCTCTCTCTCTCTCTCAAAATAAATAAACTTTAAAAAAAGGCGTAGAGAAGTAGGTTCTGTGTTGGGTATTTTTATGTTTAAAGTCTTTTCCTATTCTTACTTACATAATTGGGGAAAGGGACAGATTAAAACGTTAAGTTATATGAAGACTGAATGTTTCCAAAAATGTAAAAGAACAAAGAAGAATACAATTTCCCGGATTCATAACCTAACCGTGGAAAAACTTACCGGTACCAATTTTCTGTGCGGAAAATATCTCCTAAACACATATTATTGATCTGGAAGTTGGGACTGCCCTTGTATTTATCAACTGTTTTAATATGTTAGCTCATGAATATGTATATAAAACAAACCATCAGAAAGCGGCCCCGTCCACCCAGCCCTTGTATTCCTCAAAGCTCCAAATGCTTTTTCCCTTGTCTTTGCCCAACAGACCCTAAGCGAAGTATTTTAACTCACCTTTTATTCTTCATCATCTCCAGATCAAATATGTCTTTAGAATTCACCATTTTCAAACTTTGATTCTATTAGGCAAAAAAGAATTAGAAAAGTGTGTCCTTGTGGAGGCTTTGTCTCTCTAACCTTTCATGTAAAGCAGCCACTCTGTGCCTGACACACTCATAGTAGGTGCTGTGCATTTCCTGAGGACGTAGCCCAGGGTGGCTGCCGGGGCTCCAGCCCTCACGCCCACACTCCAAACAATATATAGAATGGAAGAAAGGAAGTATTATACAACAATTGAACAAACTGCTACCAACTTAGATGCCCATACCTAGCTGCTAAAAATGAAGTATTTCAGCTGGGGACACAGTCATCTTGGGTAACACTGGGGTCAGCTGCTAAGGAGAGGGGGACAACTAGATGCTGGAGCAGATAACCAGCAGTCACTGCTGTAGGTAGGTACTGTCACCCCCATATGTTAGAAAACCCAGGCCACCCAGTTAATAGCAGAACCAAGATCTGAACTCCGTGTTTGATCCAAACCCTGTAGTTTCCCCTCTGTGACTGCGCCTCCTGCCACAACCCCATCATCACTAGGTTGCATTTTTTTAAGAGGGAACGAAATGTATTTACAACAGGGTGCACGTTTCCACGTTGTTACAGGGACTGACCTCACCAACATGCTCCTGAAGTTTGCGCAAGAGTTGAAAGGAAGAACGCAGCATGTGACGGTGCTTTCCCTGGGCCGTGGCCAGGCCGCTAAGGCAGAAGAGGTCATTGTGAAGGCCCTGAGCAGCCCCACACAGTGGGTCTTCCTCCAGAACTGCCATCTCGCCACGTCGTTCATGCCACGGCTCTGCTCCATCATAGAATCGTAAGAGGCTTACGTGTATTTGTAAGGGATCCGCTAAATACCAAAACAGTGGGATGAGGGGCGCCTGGGGGGCTCCATCGGTTGAGCCTCCGACTCTTGATTTCGGCTCAGGTCATGATCTCGTGGTTCACGAGTTCAAGTCCCGCGTCGGGCTCCGTGCTGACAGTGTGGAGCCTGCTTGGGATTCTCTCTGCCTCCCCCTCTCTCTGCCCCTCCCTCCTCCCTCTCTCAAAATAAATAAATAATCTTTAAAAAAAAAAAAACAGAGAAAAACAATGAGGTGAAAGTGGAAATGAACGCATTTAAGCAATAATAAAGTAAAGTGCCGGGCCACTCGGGGGAAAATTAAGCTTTCTTACCTGGGTTCTTTTTGCCCCAAGAACTTTAAAACTCCACTAAGAATACGTCGGTTTTACAGGGAAAAAAAGCCTCCCTGACTGTTGCTCTCCATTCCGTTGCCCACTTTCTCCTCCTCAGCCCTCCCTCTCAGCAGAAAACATGCCCCACGCACACACGTGTGCATCCAGACCTTAGATTTTAACATTCTACACGATTCCAAACAGCTCCTGTCCCTCCTTTCTGGCCTATCCTTAGCGCTTCCTCTGACTTTCTCTGGCTCCGTCCTGTTGCAAAGAGACGCTCACTCTCACTTGGGCAGAAGCTGCCCGGGGCTCCGGCTTCTTGTTGGCGGTGGAAGTAGCTGGAAGGTAGCTATGCTAACACGGAGCGGCGGTGGGCGGGGTTTAAACTGGTCGAGTGAGTTTTAACCGGTTGCCATCGATAGTTTTCTCTCCAACGGTTCACTTGTGTCGGCCTCACCTGTGTGGTCGCGCTGTCCTGTGAGTGTGTGCACATGTGTGTGTGTAAGGCCCTCCCCTTCACACTATGTTCTAAGGCTGGGCACACCCACAGGGAACCAGAAGCCAAATCACCTGCCTCAATTAAATTTCTAAAAGCTTCGCTAGGATCGTCCGTTCTGTTCTGACTCCTGTGCCTTCAACAGTTTACAAAGTTCTTAATAATCTCCTTCTCGTATGTACTTTGCCATTTAAGAGCCAGAAGATGGGTGCCTGGGTGGCTCAGTCGGTTAAGCGGCCGACTTCGGCTCGGGTCATGATCTCGCGGTCCGTGAGTTCGAGCCCCACGTCGGGCTCTGGGCTGACAGCTCAGAGCCTGGAGCCCGTTTCCGATTCTGTGTCTCCCTCTCTCTGACCCTCCCCCGTTCATGCTCTGTCTCTCTCTGTCTCAAAAATAAATAAACATTAAAAAAAATTTTTAAAAAAAAGAGCCAGAAGACAAGACTGCTCAGTGGTGTAATTTCAGTACTTGTAAACCTTGGAAGGCGACATGATAATTCCCGGCACACCCCTCATTCATTAGTCATTCGAACACTACCAACAGGGCACCTGCCAAGAATCAGTCTAGGGACTGTGCGCAGGAGGGACCAGACGACGTCGGTCAGCCTTCCAGAGTGCGCTAGGCTCGAGAACAACAGAATGGCAGATGGCAATGTATCATTTAAAAAGAGAGACTAGTCGGGGCGCCTGCGAGGCTCAGTCGGGTGAGCGTCTCGGTTTCGTCTCAGGTCATGATCGCACAGTTTGTGAGTTCAAGTCCAGCATCGGACTCAGCACCGGTGCAGAGCCTGCTTGGGATCCTCTCTCTCTCTCTGCCCTTCCCCTGCTCTCTCTCTCCCTCTCTCAAAAATAAATGAATAAATAACCTTAAAAAAAAAACTTTTAAAAAAAGAAAAAGAGAAATTAGAGGAATGTTCTTCAGAACAGAATTTCAGAAGCTTAATAAAAGTAGTTAACAGCGCATAAAAAAAAAAGCAGTCTATGTAGTCAGAGTATAATTAAGAGGAATTCACACTTCTTTATCAAATCAAGCCTTTAAGGGTTTAAGACTACAGCCTACTATGAGAGAGAAAACTGTGAAGCAAATTTCTTAGATTTAAGAGTTAAGGAAATGTGTTCACAACATATTACTAAGGAAAACTATCGGGCTACAAACCGTATTACAGTGTACTGTTTTTATTTTAAAAAAGAGAAAGAGAAAAGGAAAGGCGTACTTATGCCTAGTTAGTGGGATTTTACTGGGTGGGTGTTTATTCTGAGAGAGAGAGAAAAAAAACACAAGTAGGGGAGGGGCAGAGAGAGAGGCAGAGCAAACCCCAGGTCAACTCCGCGCTTGGTACGGAGCCCGAAGTGCGGCTCGAACTCAACCAACGGTGAGATCGTGACCTGAGCTGAAACCGAGTGAGAGGTTCAACCAACTGAGCCAGCCAGAGCCCCAGGGTTTTAGTTTATTTTTGTTTTTCTGTTTAATTCTGTGTTTGATTTTTGTTGTTGTTGTCTTTTGGGTTCTGTGGGGTTGTTTCATTGTTTGTTTTGCTTTTGTTGTTTGGATTTGTTTTGCACATTTGACAAAAATAATCAGACATGCAGAAAAGCTGCACGAACAGGATGACCGCTCCCCTCCCCCGCCCTCTGGTTCCCGGTTGTTAACATTGGCCATTTCTTGTCTTTCGCTTGTTCGTACATTTGTATGTAATTCTTTTCTGAATTATTGGAAGTCAGCTGAGAACATGATGCCGCTTGGTGCCTCAGACACGCCAGTGTGCTCACCGATGATCTGATCACCTCAGTCCTACCTAGCCCGCTGGCCCCCAAATAACATCTTTTACTGCAAAAAAAAAAAGAAAGAAAGAAAAAAAGAAAAAAAAAAATTCTGGTCCAGGTTCTCATTCAGGATTTCTCATTGCATTCAGCTGTCTTGGCTCTTAAATCCTCCTTATTCTAGATCGTTCCTCAGTCTTTGTGTTTCATAACTTGGACGGTTCTGAAAAGTACCAGCCAGTTCCATCCGTTTGGTTTGCCTGCTGTTTTCTCACGGTCAGACTGTGGTTACACAGTATTGCAGAAAAGCCACACAGCACATTTGTGTCCCTGGTGCATCATATCGAGAGCACACAGTTGGGATTTTTTTTTTTTAATCTTTAACGTCTATTTTTGAGAGAGAGAGCATGTGAGCTGGGAAGGGGCATAGAGAGAGGGAGACACAGAATCTAAAGCAAGTTCCAGGCTCTGAACTGACAGCACAGAGCCCGACACGGGGCTCGAACTCACGAACCGCGAGATCATGACCCGAGCCGAAGTCAGACGCTCAACCGACTGAGCCACCCAGGCACCGCCATTGGGAATTTTTGACTGAATTATGGCTTTGTTATTTGCCAAACAGTGACTTTCTAATTCCACAATTCCTTCTAAATTTATTAAGTGATGTTCTTTCCTAAGGAGGAGGCTTACCTTCTCCTGCATTTATTCATTGGCTTCTTTGTATCAATCATGTTCCTGTTTTATTCGATGGATAATCTGTGGCCACCGTCACTTATTTCGACGTTGTTGTTCCAGATTTGACCAGGGAAACACTTCACTCACTTTGTTCTTAATTTGTACTTTTTCCAAGGATTTTTGCAGTGTGCACTCTTGAGCTTAGGTGGAAAAACTACTTTTCAAAGCTGGGCCTTACTGGGTCTTATGCAAATCCCTGCGTCGCAGGAGAGGGAGAGCTGGGGGGCTCATACACGATTATTTAAATGAGCTCTGGGTCACTTCCAACATGGAGATTCTGGGATTCCTAAAAACATGTTGGTTTGGCTTGACTATTTTTCATCAAACTAGGTTATCACCCTTCTGTTTTGCAGATTTAACAGCCCAGATGTGACAGTGGACCCTGACTTCAGGCTGTGGTTAAGCTCAAAGTCGGGCAGTTCTTTCCTGATTCCTATTCTTCAGAGGAGCTTAAAGGTACGGACAAAGCAGGACGGGGCTTGGTATTGACTGAGGAACACTGAAAGTAAACTGTCTTGTGTTCATAACTCGGATTTCGAAGAGGGTGCTGAGTGTAGCACGCTGAGTCTCTCCTCTGCGCTCGGCCCTGCACTGTGGTCCAGGAGGGACACTAACACACAGCAGGCCAGATCCCTGCTTCCAAGAGACTCACAGTTCGCTGGACATTTTCTCAAACAGGGATGCTAAGACTTCCGGCACCTGTGAACCGGAGTACGGGGTCTGTGTCCTCTGCCTGGCCGTTTGGCCCAGGCTTTTCCTGCCTCTGCTGCCCTGTCACCCCACAGCTCATTCTCTGGAACGGCTCTGGCAGAGAGCAGCCAGAGAGCAGGTGTTGGGGACAGGGGTCCGAGGGCGGCCTCGCGGAACATTTCACCTCAAGCAGGTCCATCGCTGCGGTTAGCAAGCCACGGCTGCACTTCAGATATTAGCAACTTTCTTCCCCAGAGTCACACTTTCTCTCTCCCTCTCTCCCCACCTGCCCCCGCTCTCCCTCCCGCCTTCCCCCTCACATATGCTTCCTTACGCGGGTGCGAGGCACGAGCAGGAGGCTCCAAAGATCAGTAATGACAGGGAACACAACGAAAATTCCTCATTTCCGCATCCTCAGGGCTTTCTCAGCCAAACTTGCTGGCCATCTGCAGTGAAGGGAATTCGAAAGGTCAACATGCTGGGAGGTACGGAATACCCACTCCACGGGGCGCTCTCCAGGCCCCGGGCCGCAGTGTGAGAGTCTTAGGCTCCGGGGCGGGGACCGGTCCCTCCTTCTCTCTCCCCGGAGAGGATCTGATTGTGCTCCCCCAACAAACCCGCGTTTCTCTATCCCTGGAAGGAGGGGCTGCTGTGCCGGACACTGGCCGTCCAGATAAGCAGCGAGGTCCTCTTCCGGGACACAGACCCCGCTGCGCACTCAGGATACATCCGACTCCCACTGGGTGGCCCTGGGGGGCATCAGAGCCTGGCACCAGGAGCGGCTCTGCGAGTGGTCGGTCTGAGCCTTGACCCGGAAACCTGCTGTTCACGTACACGCGTGTCCGTGTATCACCTACGCGTTCCCACCCACGGATCCTCACACGTGCACACGCACACAGCTTGTATGTGTTTGTGTACAATGTGCAGACGAGGGAGCTTTGCAGACACCTCACGGTTTCAACAGTTAACAGCCACGCTCTTTTTTTTTTTTTAATTTTTTTTAATGTTTATTGATTTTTGAGACAGAGAGAGACAGAGCATGAACAGGGGTGGGTCAGAGAGAGAGAGGGAGACACAGAATATGAAACAGGCTCCAGGTTCTGAGCTGTCAGCACAGAGCCCGATGCGGGGCTCGAACCCACAGACCGTGAGATCATGACCTGAGCCGAAGTCGGATGCCCAACCGACTGAGCCACCCAGGCGCCCCCCACACTCTTTTTTTTAAATGGAGTCCTATCTTCTTTTTTTGAAGTTTATTTATTTATTTATTTGGAGAGAGAGGGAGAGAGAAAGAGAAACATCCCAAGCAGGTTCCGCGCTGTCAGCACAGAGCCCGACAGGGAGCCCGAACCCACGACCCCGGGATCACGACCTGAGCCGAAATCGAGAGTCGGACGCTTAGCCGACTGAACCACCCAGGCGCCCGACGGTGTTACACTTTTCGTTTTAAAATCTGAATTGGAACAATAGGAAATCTGGTACAGTCCTCTTACGGAAACTTTCAAGTGAGAAAAGAATTAACCCGGGATTTTTGTTTTGCCCTCTTAGCCAGTCCCCTGCCCCGCTCTGTCCCCTCTAGACCTGGTGCCTGTGTCTCATGTGCTGTCCTTCTCACACCTGTTCTCAAGATTGCAGTGGAAAATCCGCAAGGATTGAAAAGTAACTTACTGCAGACGTTTGGATACAGTGGCAGTGGAGTGGTGACAGAAGAGACATTTGAAAAACTGGACTGTGGACCGTGGTGGAAAAAGCTTTTATTCGGCTTATGTTTTTTCAATGCTCTAATCAATGAGAGAAAAAATTATGGAACACTGGGCTGGAATATTGCTTACAAATTTAGTTCTTCAGACTTGGAGGTAAGTGCCATACCTTCAAAATAAACAGTAACAACAAATGAATAACAATATATACAAACTACACGGACACTGAGTGTTTTTCCCGTGAACTCCGTAACTAGGTAACAAAGGCTAATGTTTCAAAGCTTGGATCTCCGCGCCGCCGGCTTTTCTGGAAACAGATCACAGCTCTCCCGCTTATAGATGTACCAGTGTTTACTCTGTTGGGCGAGCTCATTAACTCTCAGGGTCTTGGTCCTGGACCAAGGAAGGAAAAAGCAGGATGAGGGAAGGCAAGCCAGATGTTACACCCACTCGAAAGGGCACCGAACGAGGCAGGCTAATTAACATAGGTCACGTAGCACAGTGCGTGACTCACAGAAACCGCTCGAAATGTTTGTGGTTTCTGCCCGATTTGTGTAAAGTAGGAGAGAGCGCACTTTACACAAATCGGGGGGATTTGTGTAAAGGGGGGGAGCACAGTTTAGGAGTCTTTCTTTACTATTCTCTGTCTAGAACCTTCTCTCTGCTTCCTAATGCATGGTGGTTTTTTATTGCTAAGGTAAACATGTGGCGACGCCTGCTTAAACTTTCGCCAGGTTAGATTATAGGCCAAAAACCTGAGCAAAATCTTGATTCTGCCTCTGGGTGTCCACCACCTAGACCCGCCCGGACGGGCGCCCTCCCGCCTCTTCTGCGTCCTCATTGGGCTTCTCGGCGCTCACGCCCTCTGCAAGTCAGAGTATGTGCCTCTGCCCCTCACCAGACAGGACACCGAAGGGCTGTGCTCCGGGCTTTTGTCAAGGGATATGGGCTCAAGCACTTTGTCCAAACCCCACTCAGTCAGCAGGCCGACTGACAACACATTGGGGGAAATACCTGTGGCATCTACTATGTCAATGGCTAATATGCCAATATGCTAACTGTATGAGGATTCCTTGTAAATTAAGAAGAGAAAGAAAACACCCCAATGGGTGAAGGACCCGGAGAGGCAGTTCACAGTATAAATACAAAAAGGCAATCAGATGATGAAACTTTGTTCAATTTCATTAGTAGTCGTGCTGTTCATTTTACATATCAACTTGACTGGACCCCAAGACCCCCAGGTATTTGGCCAAACGTTGTTTTGAGTATGTTTGTGAGGATGTTTCTGGGTGAGATTCATATTCAAACCGGTAGGTCATAAAGCAGATCCCTCTCCCCGATGTGGGTGGGCCTCGTCCAGTAGGTCGAAGGACTGACTAGAACAGAAAGGAAATCCTCCTGCCTGTCTGCCTTTGAGCCGGAACACTGGCTTTTTCCAGCCTCTGGACTTGAACTGAAACATCGGCTCTTTCGGGGCCTCCAGACAGGAAGTGCACCGTCGTCTCTCCTGCGTCCGCGGCCACAGGTCTGGAGATTTGTCAGTCTCCGTAATTACGTGAGCCAGGTCCTAACAGCAAGTCTCTCTGCATGTGCACTCCTCACCTGGCTCTCTGGAGAACGCGGAGTCCTACAGCCGTCAGGGAAATGCTCGTTAAAGCCGCAGTGAGATACCACCTTTCGCAACCACAGTGGCTAAAAACAACGGCACAGAGAGGCAGGAACTGTCGCTAACTTTCTGGAAGGCAACTTGGTAATCTGTATCAAAATTCTTCAAAGAATTCCTATTATCGTTGATGTAGAAAGAAAGAGTCACATTGATAGGACTGATCAGGAAAATTGGTTATAACCGAGCCCGTCAGCAGGATTTCATTCTGCGTGTATATATAATTCATCTCTCTTACAAGTGATTTTCTAGAAAATGTATCCTAAACCACCTGCAGGGGAACGGACGGTAGGAAGTGGGTGGCCCGGTGTCAGCAGGTCTTCTGTCGCCGCAGAGCGCGTGTGAACTTGGCGCAGGCTGGCATGCCCGGGGTGCTGATGCTCTCTTGGCATTTTGCAGAGAGGCTTGCTCAAGCCGGACGCAGCTGGCTACATCATGGCGCTGTTGTCCAGAAGAGGACAACCGTCCCTCCCCTCCGTCCTTCCCCCTCTCTGTGCGGCGCGTGCGACAGCAGCCTTGCCAGTGGAGGGAAAGACCCTGCGGGTGCCGAGCCGACAGTCTGGAAGTTCTGGGAGCTTTGCGGGAAACTGGATTTATGCACAGCCCCCCTCCTTAAGGAAGTGGGAACTTCTAGTTCCCTGGGAAGTTGAGTTTGGACACAGCTCCCCCCACTAGGGGGAGCGCCCGGCCAGCCAGCCGGGTCAGGGAGCTTGGGGTGTCCTGGCGGACCCTCAAGGTGACCGTGTCTACTGAGCCAAGCACCAGTGCATTCTCCACCACACACAGGCTACGGCCCCCGAAAGCCCCCCAAAACCTGGGCCTGAGCCCCAAGGGCAAGACCGAGAAAATCACATACCTAATGCGATCCAGTGGCCAGAGAGAGAAAGAACAGGAAATGGAACAAGCAATGGAACAGAAAATTGTAGGAGCCCGAAAGGATATACACGCTTCACACACACGCACGTACTTCACACACATGATGTTTGTAAGTGAGCCCGCGTCCGTTTCTTTTTACCTTCTTGACAGAAGAGGCAGCGAGACGGTAAAACTGACTTCTAAAAATATAGGAAAGAAGTTTCTGGAAATACTGAGAGAGAGGCATGAAATACGATTGCCAAGTCGCATCCCGAACTGATAAATGCCCTACAGGCAATAAAACTGTGCCTTTGGTCTGTAATTTTCTTGATGAGCCAGACACCGTTTGTGTGTCTGAGGGACGGAATTCCTCCGCGTTCTTCTCAGAAGGAAGCACGTGCAGGCCATCGGCTTTCTGTAAACTGGACTCGGACAGAACTCTGGGTGCTCTGACCAATAGCACGTCAGAACACAAGTGGGTGCTCCTGGAGCACTTGAGCGTCCGTGAAAGAGCGCCGGATGCTGCCCCCGCGTGACGTGGAACAGATGTGTGCTCGCCCTTCGGCCTCCTCCCCCGTTTTGGAGTTTTTACTTTCGTCCTAACAGCTCTGGTTATGATTTATTTGCATAACCTCCAAAGGTTATTCGTTATCACAAAATAACAGGGCGGGGGTCGGGGCGCTTGGCCCCGGTTTGCAGGGGCAGGCCAGAGGCGCATCGGTGCCCAGGCCCCGCACACCGTCGTCAGCAGACGCCGCGCACCGAGACTTATGAGCTAAACGCGAAATGAGACGGGGGGGTCGGGGGGGGGCA